CTTCATGCATCTTCATCGACCAAATCAGCCACATGTCACTTCCCAGATCGTTCCCCTGCTCCTCCCCATCGGTGCAACCTCTAGGTGACATACCAGGTGTGCCACACTATCATTTTGGGGCTGATCTCGCCATCTCCCGTGATTGGTGGTTCATCAGGTTACTCGAGGCTCAGACGACTGGTAGCTAGGTAGCGACGGCGTGGCAGCGGTGGGCGGGCGACAGGGGCGGGCAGAGTGGTGGGAAGTTTCACGTGGTTTCTAGCCCGCCAAAAGTTTACGGAAAGAGAAACTTCCCCTAAACCAGAGGAAAGTTGTGGCCAAGTTTACATGATCCTGTACATTTATTTCACCTTTTTAGGGGATCTGTTGGAGAAGTTTTTTGGCCCAAACTTCCACTAAATGGTACTCCTTATGTAAAGAAATATAAGATCGTTTAGATGATTAATATAGTGATCTACACAATCTTATATTTCTTTTTTTTATAGAGAGAGTAGTTTCTTTTTGGATAGGGGATCTGTTGGGGTTGCACTTAGTCACCTAAAACGTATTGCGGTTTGTTTACACTGAGGGAGTACCTCTTTTGGTCGTGTAACCTGTCATGCTTTGGGGTTCTATCCCCAGTTGTTTTCCTTCTTTAATAGAGCACATGCAGTTTTGTTTCATTGTTTTTGAGATAGCTCACCACTCATGCCGAATGGTCCTGCATGGTTTGAAAAATAAATATTTTTCTTCTCCTTTAATAGAGCACATGCAGTTCTCCTGACTGGTTCTAAAAATAAAATCGTATGTATCACGAAGCACGCATGGACATATAAATTATATCGAAGTGCTATGTATGTACAAATGATATTACGATAATAGAATTTAGTTAGAAGAATGTGCCTGCAAAGAGGGCATCAATCAAACACCAAAAAAAAAAGATTCATCTCCGTGCAATGTTCAGCACATCATTTCACACTGCGAACATATGACTACAGATGAACAGGACAAGATTGTAACATAAAACTGAGCTCAGCACTCCACATCATAATTTATTAGGTCTTGCACATCCAATCCTATACATCAGCTCTAGATGAACAGTAAACACCATCTCCCAAAACAATTGAAGTGTGAAGTATCTTTTTCTAGTAAAAACTGTCAAAATGTTGTAGCTAACAAAAACAACAATTTCAAAACCTAACCCCAGCCTCTGCATAAAGCGATACAGGCAGCCAAAATCCCATACACCTACATGATAAAATCTATTGCCTTCAGCAAAACAGGCCCAAACCTTGTCATGTTCAGGACAATGTCCTGCTTGGACATGTAAACCTCCCCAACCTTGTCCCATCCACTGCTCCTAATGGCTTTGGGGTCTTTGATCACAGTATGGTTCCACCCATATTTCTCCAGCAACGTGCTCTCCTCTGGACTGATGCTGTACCTGACATGGCCTAGGCCCATGTCCCGTGCCGGTTTTCCATAGAACCCATCAGCCATGAATTCAATCCCATACGGCACAATGTGCACCACCACTCCCCCTGATCGCAGGAACACCATGTTAGTCAAGCCCGCGCCATGCGCGCCCATGATTGCATCGCACGAGTCAACAAGGCGGGCGAATTCATCAAGACTAGAGTCCATCTTCGGGTCAACCTTGACCACCTCAAAACCAAACCATTCCAGCCCTTGGACAATGTACGGTGCGTTGATGAACCTCCGGGTTTTGCCCCGATCAATTAGCATTATGCGGGGCTTCTTGTCAGGATCATCTCTATCAGCCTTGTAGGGAATGGCCACCTTGGCTGCAGGCAGACCATAGGCTCCCCGGACAAACAACCGGAAGTCCATCATTGTGTAGTTCTGTGGTGACAGGTTTGGATAGATGCCAAGGTCACCATGGCTCCTCAGACCAACAATGACATGCGGATAGCACCTGACCTGGTCGTCTGAATCAAAATCTATGATGTCGTGTCGTGTGAGTTTGCTCAGGATTGTCATGTACTTCTTGCTGAACCAGGGTTGGTTGTTTGTCACAAGGAGTTGAACATCCCTGTCGAACTGGCGGGCAGTGAGGAACAGTGGAACAAGGACATCACTGAAGTCGTGCCACACATTTGCTGTGAGCCCACCAAGGGCAAATACAATGGCTGGCATGGCATACTTGGAGGTGCACCTTGGTGCTGGTTGCGAGGTATTCAGAGATTTGACAGTCACCTTCTTGACCCAGGGAAGGTTCTTCCGAGACTGGGCTCGAATACTCCACTCTTCACCGTCGGAAGTTTGTGTGTGTGGGACATACATGACAGTGGACGACTGACCAATGGTGCGAGCATCGCCGCACAACTCACAGATGTCGAAGCGCGAGTTGGAGAGGTCGCAGACCGTCGAGTTCGGTGGAGGTGTGCACTTGGTATATGGTGCTGAACCTGTTTCACAATAATTGTTAGTCATCAACTTTGAATGATCAGTACATGCCAGTATGAAATAGTTCCATGAGTACATGTTTTGATGGTGTTGATTCGCTGAACAATTTTAACAGGGGTAGCACGTAGCAATGGCAGATATTTGGATGCAATATGTTTGTGCAAATAATATTAATCACAAGAAGAAAACACCACAACATCCAGACATCTAAACCAAAAACAGATAAACTGAATAAGCACTAATGCCGTATCCAGAAAGGGTATGCGTAGGCTGAGCAATCAGCCCCTACAATCATAATATTCCAACCAGAGGTTTACAGTATGGCCATTGTATTCCTGATAATATTTCATAGCTAGTTACATACTACCTCTGTACACTAATATAGGACAGTTTTGCAGTTCATGCATTAGTTTACAGAGGGAGTATGAAATAGCAAGCAAGATTAACTGTCATGTTAAGATAGCAAACAGGATCAAACAATAGAACCAAATATAACCAGAGCAAGCAATTTTTCTCATCTTGGACAGAATTGACACATAAGCATATTCTTTCGTGATACTAAATTACAAATTTTGTATCTTCTACTGTACTCCCTCCGGTCCTTTTTACTCCGCATATTAGATTTGTGTCAAGTCAAACTTTGCAAAGTTTGACCAAATTTATATTAAAAATTATCAACATCTACAATATCAAATATGTATGCTACGAAACTACATTTCGTAATGAATCTAAAAATGTTGGTTTGGCATTATGAATGTTAATACTTTTTTCTATAAATTTGGTCAAAGTAAAGACACTTTGACTTCAGACAAAACTTATATGCGGACTAAAAAAGACCGGAGGGAGTACATGGGTACTACGTTATGGGTATATTCGGATAAGTGCCGAAGGTTGCCCTGACAAAAAGTTGGCTAGCCAAAATTTTAGTTAAGGTTTTGCTTGCCAATGCCAACATTGGTTAGAAAAATGAATTACAGTTGGTAATGGAGCTTTGGCATCCCATAAATTCGGTCTCCAAAACAAAGGCTAATGTTTCGGTCATGACCAAAAAATTGATAGGGTGCAATTTTGGTCACAATCCAAATACACCCTAAGCCTTTATGAATAAAACTACAATGTCCTCCAAAGCAAATAAAGTTAGGATCTGCTACATACCTATATGGAATAGAAAGAAAATTCATTTTTGTTATCACAAGTACAGACAACAATTCTAGAAACAAAAATTTTTGGTGTTCTATGTAAACATCATTTAATACTTTGCACAGTTTGGAAGTGACAGGTAACCGGGCCAAAAAAAATCCTATGTTTTTCTGGTATAAGTTAGGGTTTTTATTGTTTTATACTTAAACTGTTATTAGTTCTGCAGATAAAAAATAATTTTTGATGAGCTAAAAACATTATGTGCGGTCAATGCATCATGCCCTCAATCAGGCTTGCTTAACAATTAAAAAAACAGGCTTGCTCAATTGCTGTCTAGAAAATCAGTTTATATTAGTCTAGCAAAATTCTGCTGAATTCACATCCGGCTAAATCTAAACCTAAATTTCTAGGCCTTTAATAACTGCTCCCTCCGTTCGGAATTACTTGTCTCGAAAATGGATGTATCTAGAACTAAAATATGTCTAGATACATCCATTTCTGCGACAAGTAATTCCGAACGGAGGGAGTACAACCATTAAAACAGTTCCATGCTTAATTTTCACAGTACAGAGCACTTCAGTTATATTCCCCAACAAAGGAAAAAGCTTTGTGTTATTGACTTAGTGTGCACTATAAGTCATCCAAATGTGGACCACTAGGATGAATAATTAGCTCCTACCCTCTAGAAAGAGGGTCTATTCAACATTTCCATGTGTTGAACTTAAGGATAGCATTCACTGTTAGCTTTAGTGCCCTACAAGAATCAACTTTACATATAAAAGCGCATCAGCCAGTCACTGCTAGTTATAATCACCTCCTTACTCCACTACAGGTGAAGTTGCTTTGGGAGCAAAAGCAAAAAATAAAATGATTGGCTGAGGAACAAACTTATTTGCAATAAAACAACAAGCCTTACCAGATCCTCCTGCATTCCTTTCTTCTTGGTCCGGCGCGGTCGTGGTCGCCATCCCTCCCTCGCCGTCCAAGTCCGAGTTGGCTGGAGTAGTGCCTTGAGATGCTGGTTTGGTCTCTACATTTTGTCCCCAATCAGAAACATTCAGAATTTATACACTAGCTGATCCGTCAGAATAGGCCATAAAAACAAAGAAGAATGCCACACCAGGAGTGTCCTCTGGAGGCTGTTTCTGCTCTTCCATTGCCTCCATGGAAGATTCATCAAGCTCTGCATCCCCGAAACCGAACCATCAGATTTTACTAATCCGGTCTGGATTCCGAAACCAACGAGCCTCGGTAACTAAAGGGAAATCCCGCCCATTTCCTATGTCCGCTATGCTTACCAATTTTTTGGTCACTCCCCTCCTCTTCTTGCTTTGACGAATCAGACGTCTCCCCTTCTTGCTTTGAGGAATCAGATGTCTCCAAGTCTGAATACGGGAAGCGGTCAACAATCACAAGGAAACGACGAACAAGACACAAGCAACTGCAAAGATGTTGCAAAGTGCATGGATTTCATCTTCTTGCCTTGGTCCGTGGAGGAGACCGGCCGGTCGCGCACCGTCCGGGGGGTGGAGTCGTCCACATGTACCGGGGTGAACCGCGAGGAAGCTGAGATAAATCTCCAGTAAGAACACACGAGGATACGGTACAGAAGACCAAGTCGGTTGGGCGACTGACCGTCGGGGCCCTGCGGGAAGCGGCCGGTGAAGAGGACGAGGACGAGGACGGCCGCGACGAGGAGGGCGGCGAAGGGCGCGCCGACCCTGCGGCGCCAGATGCCGCCCAGCTGGCCCGCCTTGCTCCTGGCCGCCTTCGGGGACCCCATGGCTCCCCCCGCTCCCTCCCTCTCTTGCTGGTCTTGCTGTGGCACTGGCAGTCACTCCCTCGAGCTTCTTCTTCTGCTGCTACTTTGTAGTGGTATGCCGCTGCGCTGCACCATGAAGAAGGGACAGAGCGGCGACAGACGGCGGCGGTAGGGCCTCGCGGCTTGGCCTGTGGAATGCGGAAGCTTGCGGGGAAAGGAATGATGGAGCTCTGATCGGAGAAAGCTTGCCTGCTCCGGTGGATTGGATCATTAAAAGGGGAAAAGGGGATCTGGGTTGGGTCTGGGGCGGCCGCCAAGAACTCGATTCAACTCAGAGTGAGGGGACAGACAAGGAAAGGATAGTTTGTTTTGTGTTTTCGACGCCGAGAAGGATGGTTGGTTAGTTTTCGCTCATACTCCTCCTACTCGAGTTTGCGTGGGACCCACTCCGCAGTACAGACACAGAGAGAGCATGCGCGGCAGCGCCCGGAGAGAATGGTACTGCTGCTGTAGACGGCCGGGCTTGAGAAAAAGAAATGGCATCGTGACAAGGAGCCTGCTGCAATTTCGAAGCGCAAGTACTTCAAACGTGTTCCTTCGGCATAAAACCGAAAACCGCACCGAATATTAGGTTAACCGAATTTTCGGTTAGCAATTTTCACCTACCATTTTCGGTTTTTGGTTTTACTAACCGAATTTGAAGAAAAACCGAATGATAGAAACCGAATTTTCAGTTTATACCGAACGCCCGCCCCTAGCTTATGCCCAAATGGGGCATGGATCCGGCGCTAGGCCGACCATAGCTACCTCGCCAGAGGTTGAGCGGTCTGTCTGGCGTCCGAACGCGCTGGCGGACACGCACCCCCTCCGCCGGCGCGCCGAGCATCAGGACGCACCACGTGCCTCCTCCAACGAGGCCATGGCACGGGGTGCCCGCCGTGCAAGACGCCGAGCGCGGGAACCGGCGGTAGCCCTCGCAGCGGCAGATGTTGAAGGAAATATGCCCTAGAGGCAATAATAAAATATGCCCTAGTCAATGATAAATGTTTATTATTCATGCTAGAATTGTATTAACCGGAAACATAATACATGTGTGAATACATAGACAAACAGAGTGTCACTAGTATGCCTCTACTTGACTAGCTCGTTAATCAAAGATGGTTATGTTTCCTAACCATTGACAAAGAGTTGTTATTTGATTAACGGGATCACATCATTAGGTCAATGATCTGATTGACATGACCCATTTCATTAGCTTAGCACTCGATCGTTTAGTATGTTGCTATTGCTTTCTTCATGACTTATACATGTTCCTATGACTATGAGATTATGCAACTCCCGTTTGCCGGAGGAACACTTTGTGTGCTACTAAACGTCACAACGTAAAAGGGTGATTATAAAGGTGCTCTACAGGTGTCTCCAAAGGTACATGTTGGGTTGGCGTATTTCGAGATTAGGATTTGTCACTCCGATTGTCGGAGAGGTATCTCTGGGCCTTCTCGGTAATACACATCACATAAGCCTTGCAAGCATTGCAACTAATGAGTTAGTTGTGAGATGATGTATTACGGAACGAGTAAAGAGACTTGCCGGTAACGAGATTGAACTAGGTACTAAGATACCGACGATCGAATCTCGGGCAAGTAACATACCGATGACAAAGGGAACAACGTATGTTGTTATGCGGTCTGACCGATAAAGATCTTCGTAGAATATGTAGGAGCCAATATGAGCATCCAGGTTCCGCTATTGGTTATTGACCGGAGACATGTCTCGGTCATGTCTACATTGTTCTCGAACCCGTAGGGTCCGCACGCTTAAGGTTTCGATGACAGTTATATTATGAGTTTATGAGTTTTGATGTACCGAAGTTAGTTCGGAGTCCCGGATGTGATCACGGACATGACGAGGAGTCTCGAAATGGTTGGGACATAAAGATTGATATATTGGACGGCTATATTCGGACACCGGAAGTGTTCCGGGGAAGTTCCGGATAAAACCGGAGCACCGGGGGGTTACCGGAACCCCCCGGGGGGTTAATGGGCCTCATGGGCCTAAAGTGGAGAAGAGGAGGGGCTGCCAAGGCAGGCTGCGTGCCCCCTCTCCCCCTAGTCCGAATTGGACAAGGAGGGAGGGGCGGCGCCCCCCCTTTTCTTCTCTCCTTCCCCCTCTCCTACTTGGACAAGGAAAGGGAGGGGAGTCCTACTCCCGGTAGGAGTAGGACTCCTCCTGCGTGCCTCCTACTAGGGCCGGCCGCACCCCCCTTGGATCCTTTATATACGGAGGCAAGGGGCACCCCTACACACAAGTTGATCCACGTGATCATATTCTTAGCTGTGTGCGGTGCCCCCTTCCACCATAGTCCTCGATAATATTGTAGCGGTGCTTAGGCGAAGCCCTGCGACAGTAGTACATCAAGATCGTCACCACGCCGTCGTGCTGACGGAACTCTTCCCCGACACTTTGCTGGATCGGAGTCCGGGGATCGTCATCAAGCTGAATGTGTGCTAGAACTCGGAGGTACCGTACTTTTGGTGCTTGATCGGTCGGGCCGTGAAGACGTACGACTACATCAACCAAGTTAACGCTTCCGTTGTCGATCTACAAGGGTACGTAGATCACACTCTCCCCCTCTCGTTGCTATGCATCACCATGATCTTGCGTGTGCGTAGGAAATTTTTTGAAATTACTACGAAACCCAACAGTGGCATCCGAGCCTAGGTTTTATGTGTTGAAGTTATATGCACGAGTAGAACACAAATGAGTTGTGGGCGATATAAGTCATACTGCTTACCAGCATGTCATACTTTGGTTCGGCGGTATTGTTGGACGAAGCGGCCCGGACCGACACGACGTGGTTTGCACAAAGGTGGCTAGCGGGTGACAGTTTCTCCAACTTTAGTTGAACCGAGTGTAGCTACGCCCGGTCCTTGCAAAGGTTAAAACAACACCAACTTGACAAACCATCGTTGTGGTTTTGATGCGTAGGTAAGATTGGTTCTTGCTTAAGCCCGTAGCAGCCACGTAAAACTTGCAACAACAAAGTAGAGAACGTCTAACTTGTTTTTGCAGGGCATGTTGTGATGTGATATGGTCAAGACATTATGCTAAATTTTATTGTATGAGATGATCATGTTTTGTAACCGAGTTATCGGCAACTGGCAGGAGCCATATGGCTGTCGCTTTATTGTATGCAATGCAATCGCGTTGTAATACTTTACTTTATCACTAAGCGGTAGCGATAGTCGTGGAAGCATAAGATTGGCGAGACGACAACGATGCTACGATGGAGATCAAGGTGTCGCGCCGGTGACGATGGTGATCACGACGGTGCTTCGAAGATGGAGATCACAAGCACAAGATTATGATGGCCATATCATATCACTTATATTGATTGCATGTGATGTTTATCTTTTATGCATCTTATCTTGCTTTGATTGACAGTAGCATTATAAGATGATCTCTCACTAATTATCAAGAAGTGTTCTCCCTGAGTATGCACCGTTGCGAAAGTTCTTCGTGCTGAGACACCATGTGATGATCGGGTGTGATAGGCTCTACGTTCAAATACAACGGGTGCAAAACAGTTGCACACACGGAATACTCAGGTTATACTTGACGAGCCAAGCATATATAGATATGGCCTCGGAACACGGAGACCGAAAGGTCGAGCGTGAATCATATAGTAGATATGATCAACATAGTGATGTTCACCAATGAAACTACTCCATCTCACGTGATGATCGGACATGGTTTACTTGATTTGGATCACGTAATCACTTAGAGGATTAGAGGGATGTCTATCTAAGTGGGAGTTCTTAAGTAATATGATTAATTGAACTTTAATTTATCATGAACTTAGTCCTGATAGTATTTTGCAAATTATGTTGTAGATTAATAGCTCGCGTTGTTGCTTCCCTGTGTTTATTTTTGATATGTTCCTAGAGAAAAATAAGTTGAAAGATGTTAATAGCAATGATGCGGATTGGATCCGTGATCTGAGGTTTATCCTCATTGCTGCACAGAAGAATTATGTCCTTGATGCACCGCTAGGTGACAGACCTATTGCAGGAGCAAATGCAGACGTTATGAACGTTTGGCTAGCTCAATATGATGACTACTTGATAGTTTAGTGCACCATGCTTAACGGCTTAGAATCGGGACTTCAAAGACGTTTTGAACGTCATGGACCATATGAGATGTTCCAGGAGTTGAAGTTAATATTTCAAGCAAATACCCGAGTTGAGAGATATGAAGTCTCCAACAAGTTCTATAGCTAAAAGATGGAGGAGAATCGCTCAACTAGTGAGCATGTGCTTAGATTGTCTGGGTACTACAATCGCTTGAATCAAGTGGGAGTTAATCTTCCAGATAAGATAGTGATTGACAGAATTCTCTAGTCACCATCACCAAGTTAGTAGAACTTTGTGATGAACTATAATATGCAAGGGATAACGGAAACGATTCCCAAGCTCTTCGTGATGATGAAATCGAAGAAGGTAGAAATCAAGAAAAACGTCAAGTGTTGATAGTTGACAAGACCACTAGTTTCAATAAAAGGGCAAAGGGAAGAAGAAGGGGAACTTCAAGAAAAACAGCAAACAAGTTGCTCAAGTGAAGAAGCCCAAGTCTGGTCCTAAGCCTGAGACTAAGTGCTTCTACTGCAAAGGAACTGGTCACTGGAAGTGGAACTGCCCCAAGTATTTGGCGGATAAGAAGGATGGCAAAGTGAACAAAGGTATATTTGATATACATGTTATTGATGTGTACTTTACTAGTGTCCATAGCAACCCCTCAGTATTTGGTACTAGTTCAGTTGCTAAGATTAGTAACTCGAAACGGGAGTTGCAAAATGAACAGAGACTAGTTAAGGGTGAAGTGACGATGAGAGTTGGAAGTGGTTCCAATATTGATATGATCATCATCGCACACTCCCTTTACTTTCGGGATTAGTGTTGAAACTAAATAAGTGTTATTTGGTGTTTGCGTTGAGCATGAATATGATCTGATCATGATTATTG